AGGCTGCTAAAGGCTTTTAACCTTCGATAAGTAGAATTTTAGTGGACCGTAACACGGGCATACATCTATTCTCTTGTCTCTGACTGCAGGATTTGTATATATATAAAATGGCAGTATTTCTTCAAGTTGTGTTTTGAACAGGCTTACAGTCCTTATATTACTTCACTGCTGCGATAGCATGGCCATAAATTCATGAGAGATGCTGGGAGCTGTTGGAAGGATCGGTGCAAACCTGAACAAAATCTTAGGGCAATTCCTGTCTGCCATATCCTTTGTACCTGCTAACCCAAATCCCTCCAACTCCTCCTGCACTCTCCTTGGAATTCTGATGATGGCTTCCCTTAACTTTTGGAGAGTTGGTACGTAAAAATGAGATGATAATAGTTTATAAAAGAGTTTCAGCTGTGAACAAGAGTTATTATGGTCACAGTTGTAAAACAAACTAATCCACCAAAACTTACATGAACAGCTAATACAGTACTAGAGGTTGAATCAGCCTTCTTTAGATATTAAACCTCCCTTACCTCCCTTACCTGAATGGGCTAACTATTCCCAGAAGCATTCAAGATCTTCAGTAAGAAGTTTACTGTGATCCAGATGAAACAGAAGGCCACGCTAGCCTACAGAACCCAACCCCTTCAGGATGAGTTGTTGCAAAAGCTTATTAACAAGTCAATAAAATGAAAATTATTCCTTCTGGCTTTATTGGTGCACAATGTCTGTTTTACATTCATACAGTTTCTGTCCTATCCTTGGCAGTTGTCTTCTTTGTTGTATTCTTACAAAGAGAGAAATATCAAAACATTAATTTAAGCTGTCACAATGCAAAGGGCTGACAGTCATATAAAGAATTATCATTACGGTAGAGAATGGAGACAAGTTAGAGAAGGAAAATTAAAGTGACTAGCTAAACAGAACCGAACTTTTTGAAAAATTTGGATATTGCCATGACAATTTGAATTGCGGCAACTTTTTCTTTTTGTGTTTTTCAGCACATTCCGACACAGTCTATTATCAGTCTGACAAGGAAAAGAAAGAAAATCACTTTATATATACACTAGTTTTAGTGAAATATGTATTTTAAAGAGAAGATTCATCTTGTACTAGTTTGTGTAGTAAGATATATTGCAACTAACATCAACCTTCATAATTTTCCGTAACTGTAGAAGTCAGACTGACCAAGATTACAGCCTGTTTAATTCTTCTTACCAAGACATACAACACAGACATGGTTTTTTGTCCACTTCAGGGCTTATTTGGAAAACGAAAATGATGTATTTCTGGCAAACAATAAAATTTCAACAGGTGCTTGAGTCAAGGTCTCAAAATGCATTGTGCATTCCTAGGTATTATTTTAATTATTCAAATAAGATAAGGAAGAGAGTGGCTAGAAGAAGAAAATCATGCCTACATTTTGCTCTTATGCTATCCTTTTCAGCAGTAGCTCTTGTAACATTTTACTATGGCGATGAAGAAAGTAAGGGCACAAGAGTCTCACGGTGCAAGTCCGTGCCCAGCAAGCTAGAGTACACTGACAGATCCTTTGGTTTAAGTCAAGTTTTCAGCAGGGAATACCACGGTTAGCCTTGTGCTCTGCCCTCTCATCATACGCTCTCCTGATAAGAGGAAAGTAAGTCAGATGTTATGCATTTAATGCAAGGAGTTGGTGAAACTCTGCAGCTTGTGTTCCACACAAATACCCGCTGCCTTCTAGCTATAGTATCTACAGTGCAATTTATGTCCATTAGCGCTGCAGTGGCTAACTGGTCAGACTACTAATGAAGTGTGAGTCCACAAGATGGCTATATACAGTCAAAATTTAAAATAAGTTCTCATGCACATAAGCAATCAATGACTTAGTTCAGCTGACACACAAAAAACAGCTGGAAACACCAAAGGCTGAGAAAATCAGTCTTCTCAAAGTAGATGAATGAGAGGGTTACATGACTAATGCTAACAGGACAGAGGCACAAAACTCCCTGTGGATGTAAGGACATAAGATCCTTTGCACATGTTCATCATTAGCCTTATGTCTCTTTAAGCACTGTAATCCTGGAATTTGAAAAACAGACTGTTTAGATCACCACAGTAGGTAGCCTTGAAGTTGTCTGTATGTTCTGTAGCTCTCAGCACTCAATTCAAGACCAAGCTGCCAACATTGCCAGGCAGCGCTGTCTGGCCGAGGCCTGGTGAGTCCTCAGAGAAGTCACAGGATCAGATCCTATGCACAGTGAAGTCACATGTAAAACTTGTGCACCAATCATAAAAATAAAGAAACAACAGGGAAGCACTGTGACTGCAAATCACTATTATTCTCCAAATAAATCAGATGGACATTATGACTTGGAAAAGCAGACAAGAAGACACTTAAAACATATAATAAAAATGAACTGCTGCAGTGACACCAAATGTAGCACCAGTCTCCCAATTGCATCAATAATTTTTTGTGATTGTGATCACAAAGATGTTAAGTTTTGCTAAGATGCATTTGCAAATCACTTTGATTACTAACTGTGAATAGGTCAAATGTGTTTAAGTGCTTCTGCATATTCATTGTGGCCCTCGGATCCTTCTTTGCTGTGTCCTGAATGAGAAACACGTGACAGAACATTAGGAAGTTTAGACGCTCCTGCTTGGAGTGTTCAGATGGCTCTGGAGTTATTAGGGCTACTTAAATGGAGAGTCATTTTGTGACCTGTCCTTTTACTGAGTCTCAGGGCTTTTATGACTGACTTTGCTTTTCACAATTTTCTCTCTCTCATTCATTGTTTTTTAATCAGATACGCTTTACTGTGTGGAGGAATTTGACCATTTACTATTGTATTCTAAGAAATAAGCCTACTAGACCAAGCATTCCAGGTAATTTCATTTTTGCAATAGGAGCTATAATTGAGGAATCATATTTTCAATGTAAGACACTATCTAAAACTAGTCCCTGTTATGAACCCAGGTCAACTATATTCAATCTTCTTTAATATGGCCTTTGATAGTATTCATTTAGGACTCTAGTGCAAAGCCTCAAAAATGGCACTGAATGAAATTAGTTTCCAAAAGAAATGGAACAGTAGCAGTAGTCTCTTTCTCTGAATTAATGACAATCTTAAAATCTCAGCTGCAATTGCTCTGAAACAGCACATTAATCCACAATGAAAATGTTTGCATAGCATTTAAAAAATACAAACAGGATTAACAAAGAACTTTCCAAGGACAAGACATATTTGATTCAATTTTAAGACCAGAAGGAAGTTCAGTGCCTCAGCTTTTTTTTAAAAAGAGGGTTAGGGAGACTATAACGAGCTGAGGGAAAAAAACTTACTCTCTCCCAAACCCCAATTTGAATATTACAAAGCTTATTCAATACTCAAATATCACCATTGCAAATGTAAACCTAAATGGGCCGATTGAGTAAGCGCATGAGAACACCTGAGAAAATGTTTCCATTCTAATTTTCACCGCTAGGGCTGCAACAATCAGCATGAGTGGGGGGGTGGGTGATCAACTGTAGTTTCTTCTGGTTGCCTGAACTATGACAGTTTGGCCTTTTTCTGGGAGTGATCCCACTAGCTTCAGTAAAGCACTACTCAGCTTCAATAAGAACGGCTGACACTACTTGCCAGGTAGTGAAGCACTGATGGTTAAGTGCCTCTTCCTATCTGTTGAGTCTTCTCCCTAGCATCTGAGTCCCATGTGCATGGTCAGCCTCACTAAGAGGAGGACAATTATGATTACAGTTCTCTAATGAGTCATCTACGACTTTCCAAGATGGGGTGAGTTAAAGTCTCCATTCCCTCTATCAGGGAACTTAGATGAACAGTTTTCCTCAGTCTTTGTAAGCATGCTACACACTTGTATGTGGATATTAGCCTGTGTTGCATACATATATACATACATATATATATACACATGCAAATATATATATATATGTGTAACAGTGGTAGCATGGCCGAGCGGTCTAAGGCGCTGGATTAAGGCTCCAGTCTCTTCGGAGGCGTGGGTTCGAATCCCACTGCTGCCAGCAGTCCTTTTGGCAAGAAGAATGACCCAGGAAACTACAGGCCAGTCAGCCTCACCTCTGTCCCTGGAAAGGTGATGGGGCAGCTCATCCTGGACGCCATTTCCAAGCATATGAAGGACAAGAAGGTGACTAGGAGTAATCAGCATGGATTCACAAAGAGAAAATCATGCTTAACCAACCTGATAGCCTTCAATGATGGAATGACTAGCTGGGTAGATGAGGGGAGAGTAGTGCATGTTGTCTACCTTAATTTCAGTAAGGCTTTTGACACTATTTCCCCTAACATCCTCATAGGCAAGCCGAGGAACTATGGATTAGATGAACAGACAGTAAAGTGGATTGAAAATTAGCTGTATGGCAGAGCTCAGAGGGTTGCGATCAGTGGCACAGAGTCTAGTTGGAGGCCTGAACCAAGCAGTGTATCCCAGGGGTCAATGCTGGGTCCAGTATTGCTCAACTTATTCAACAGTGACCTGGATGAAGCAGCAGAGCGCACCCTCAGCAAGTTTGCTGAAGATGCAAAACTGAGAGGAGTGGCTGATACACCAGAGGACTGTGCTGCCATTCAGAGGGACCTGAACAGGCTGGAGAGACGGGCAGAGAGGAGCCTCACAAAGTTCATCCATAAATAAGCTGGTCCCATATTGTTCCCTGCAGACTTTTCACCAGCTTCGCACTTCTCCCTTATGTTCACATTTGGGCTGAACTGAGCTGTAGCGCCAGATCTGAAACTGCCATCGCTGTTCAAAGACAGATATCAGTGCTGCAAAGTGTGAGTGAAGGCAAAGGCAGACGGGAGTGAAGGTGAGCCCTAGGAAGATGAAACAGGGCATCATCTACAAACTGCCATACCTGAGAAAGTATGGGCTTAATAAAGCTCATCCTCATACGGAAGAAGCAATTTCTTGCCCAGCACCAGTCTCTGGCTTCACTTCTGCAGCTAGTGAGGAGCAGCTTGGCGACCACATTGATGAATACGAGATGAAGTCCTCCTGCCCTCTCTGTCTTGTTCCTCACTTCTTAACTTGCATGTCGGCACACACATCTCAGCACCTGTGCCATGGGACCCTGTTTTTAAAGTGAATTTAGAATGAGATGAACAAGGATTGTTTTGGGAGCAAAGAATAAACCTCTGCTAAGCCTTAAAACCTGATTTTAGTAGACTTATTGATTGCACCAGAGTGTATATGCTCATATGTATGTACTTCTGCAGTAAAAAAGTGCAGCAAAAATGATTAAACACATGAGAAAAGAGGTTTCCATCTAAAAGGTGATTAAAAAGACTAGCATTGTTTAGTTTGCAAAACACAAGAGTAAAAGGTGATATAACAGAAGTAGAGAGAAGGGGCTATTTATTCTGTTTTCTCTCAAGAACAAGTACCCATGGAAAGGTGAAGACAAAATTCTGAAAACATTTGTGCAGTGTATAACCAGCCACATAACTCATTGCTGCAGGATATTAGGCAAATTTATCAGAAATATTTCTAAATGTATTAAGACTATGAATAATAAGCCTCGGTTACCTAGGATAAGGAAAAGAAAAAAACAATCCCCCAATCCATAAGGACGGTTAGTGCCTGTCCTTGTGCTCAGATTGGTTAGAGATGGAATTTTTTTTCCCCAGAGGGACAGCATTATTTATTTATCCACTGTATGATAGGGGAGTGCTCTCTTCCTTCAAGCAGGAGGTACAGTAGAAGGCAATTAAACAGGTCGGTAAATGCAGCTGTGAGAGGTCATTGCCAACAGATTTCTTGCAGAATACATAAACTTAGTAATGGTCAAGCGGCTCAGGTCTAGTTATTTTGTTCTCAGCTGGCTATTTTCCCCAAGGAACCTCAACTACAGCTAGATAACCGTCAAGGCTGTGAATAAAAACGGAATTAAATATACTCATGTCCTTGCAAAGTTCTTTGCTAATCCTGCTTGTTTCTATGTACCTGTAAATGCTAAGTAAACATTTTCACTGTGGCTATAACCTATTTTGAGTATAAAAGAGAAATTGTTGTACCTCCA